AGGATAGTGGCTTGGTGTGATTGTTCAAGATGATCATAGCATAAATCAATGTCACAAAGGCCACGGAGGAGACACGTAGAAACACCGTCATAATCATCAAAGGCTTTACTGATCAATGTGGTATCTTTAGATTCCACTGTGCCCTTTAACTTTAGATGAACTTCAATTGTAACAGTGTCCTTGGACATAATTGCACGAGACGGGCCAGTCAAGTGCAAGAAAGGATACTGCAAGCATCATTATTCACCATTAGCATGTAAACAAAGATGCAAACAATAAGAGAAAGAACAGGAAAAATACCCATGCATACCTCTGTCGTGAGGATTTGGCAGTCATCCCTAGTGCGAAGGAAGAGAAGGTTGCGACGATAGTCCACAACATCTCGGGCAGCGACTACACCGTATACCTTCAGTGGCCACTCAAGGGTGAAGCCTTCTCTTTCTGCAACTTTAATAGAGTAGACCTGCATGGTCCTCCCGAGTTCAGCACCCACTTCGGTGTGGCCTGGTATGATTTGGGTAAAGTACATAGGGCTCAATAATGCTGCATGCAACCAAGTTAAGTATGTGTTAGAAATCTAACGTGAACTACCTAAAGATTGCTTTTGCTGTCCATTATGAATAAAGAAGAATCAATGATTAAAGTAAATCACTATGCTAACAGAATGAATTAGCTTGCTTGAGACATGCAGTAAATGGAAGAAGAAAAGGAACTAACAAAAACCATATCACTAGCACATTTACTCACTTGGGTCTTCGAAGCTGCCAAAGTTGCTGCGCCTACATTCCCAATCTCTACGGTAAGCATTGAAATAATACTCCTCAGCCACCTTCGTCGCCTCATACACATCCTCAACTTCCACATCCTTATCCCTGTCCAGGTTTAACTTTATCAATTCCAATCCCTCTCTGAAATCTGGCACCCATTGACCAAGCCGGTCAAAAACTGCAGAGATAAACTTCAATGTGGAGCAATAGTGTGCGAAGGGCTCCCGAATAAGCATGCATATCGCTAGAAATTTTGGTTCTGTTGAGACTAGCTGGCACATGTTGTCCCACAGATCATCAAACTGCCGGGAGAGCAGAGCTAATTTGAAGCTGACCCTCGGCACCACCTCAGCCCTAACAGTCTCTGCCTCTGCCTCCTCAATCTTGTTTCTGACAGATTCAGCTATGGGGATTGAGTTATTGACCGGCAGCTCATTGAACTGCTTGGAGACTGATTTGCCACCGTCACCAATCTTGCTCTGTGTCTGTACCATTATGCCTTCATTGCCAATGCTCGCCAATTTAAACTCGCCACTGCTTCCCTTCGACGACTTCCCTCCAGTATCCATCTCAATGCCATCGCCAATTTTGCTCTGGGTATCTGTCAATTTCCCTTTATTGCTGATCCAACAGGCATTCTGCATCGCGCGGATCCTCTTCTGGGTCTCATAATTGAAAAGACCAAAGATCTTATTCGACAGCTCATACATATCCAATTTCAACACCTGAAGATTCTTGTATTCCGCAGAGCCGTAATATCCAATCTCCACCATCTTCTTCTCCTGGGCCTGGATCCAGCAGATACTCTTCTGCATGAAGATTGCAGCCTGGCAGAGCTCCTCGCTTAAAATGGGCTCGCCACTTCTTCCCTTCAAATTCCCTGTGGTCGCCATCCCACTGTCATCTGACTGTAGCATCTTTGAGTGAACGAGGGACCAAGCAACAGTAATCTCAACCTTAGAGCCATCAGCAAGGGAGCATTCACATTCACTTGTGTTGTATTTTTCAGATTCAAGGACGAATTTAGCAGCAATCTCAGTCTGTGAATCGTCCATTATGAGGACCTGCAGCTTTCCATTTAATTCCACAGAAACTACATTCCTTGCCAGATCAAGGTAGCCATTTTCAGTCATAGGCATTCTTCCACATTTTGAATCAAGCAGCCAAACTTGCCTACATGATGCTTGCTCAGCGATATCTTCACTACCCTCCTGAGGCAATGAATAGCAAACAACTCCACCACCATGTAGAAAAGGCAACGATTCCTGTTTTGGTGTAACAGCCACACTCAAGATAGTGGCCTGGACCGACTGTTTAAGTTGCTCACAGCACAACTCCACTTTGCAAAAGTCATTTTTGGCAAGATAGGTACCGGAATTGTCAGCATTGTAAAAGCCAAATGTACTGATCAATGGTGTATCTTCCGATTTTTTTGTGCCCTTTACTATTAATTGGATTTCAATGTAAATAGTATCCATCGAGACAATTGCACGAACCGGGCCCGTCAAGTGCAAGAAAGAATCCTGCAGGCATCATCATTTGCCATTGACTGTTCAACAAGGATGCAGGCAACAAGCAAAAGATCAAGAACACAAAAATACCATACATACATTTTCTTCGAGGATTTGGCAGTGCTCTCTTGAACAGAGGAATAGAGGGTTGCGACGACGGTCCACAGCATCACGGACTGCAACCACTCCATACACCGGCAGTGGCAAAAAATCGGGTTTTACTAGTGATACTTTGATGGAGTAGATTTGTAAGGTACTCCCAGCGACAGCTTCAGTTGGAATGTGGCCTGGTGTGCAATGCGTAAATTGCATGGGGCTCAATAACGCTGCATGCAAGTTAAGTACGAGTTAGAGATCTAACATGAAGTAACTAGTCTATTCAAGAAGAGTATATCCGAATCAATCTGGTTACATAATAAAGTGGACTAAATTCCAATTTGGAAGGAATCAGCTTCCTTGAGACATGCAGTATGTCAAATAACTACCATCGGGTAACTAGCATGCATGCATGTTTACTCACTCTGGTTTTCGAAGCTGTGGCCATCCTTGCCCCATATGCGTTCCCAGTACAGACAGTATGCAGCGAATTTCTTCTCCTCCATCTCCATGGAGTGTTCTTGGCCTTCCCTGGGGCTGTCGTTCTCCAACTCCTTCATTGCTGACAAGAAAGATTCTGATTTCAACTTGATAATTGTTGATTTCACTTTGAAGTCGAAGGCTGGGTCCATTTGCTGGAGCATGCTAATACGTTCAGAGATCAATTGCAATTTGGAGATACGAGATAGATATGGCTCAGAAATAAACTTCTTCATGGTGCTCCTTATATCTTTGTTTTCTGGGGAGAACGATCTCAAAATGTTACACATCTCATGCCTCAGCTCATCGATCTGCTCGGAAAACAACGACAGTCTGAAGCCGAACCTAAGCACTGCCATTGCCTCCTCCCTGATGGTTTTTTCTTCAAATACCTTAAGAATGTCAGCACCCACCACTTCTTCAAATTTCAACAGGATTTGGACTGTCAATTCTTGCACAGTTTCCCATCGGAGTTGACTGTCTGCCTGGCCAACGATCCACTCATTGGCCTCATTTGCAAACAGATCAAACAGCTCCTCGATTTCTGTGTCTCCGCCTATCTCTCCACCGGTGAGGATTCCGGCACGGTAGAGCAGATTCTTGAGCTCTAGGGATCCGGCACTCCTGCTTCTCTCCGACGACTTCCCTCCGGCTTCCATCTCTCCGCCGTCGCCAATCTTGCTCTGGGTCTCCATCGATTCCCCTTCATTGCCGATCCAACCGGCGCTCTGCATCGCGCCCATCCTGTGCCACAATTGAAAGATCCTGTCCGTCAAGACGGCCATATCCACTCTGAAATCCGGAAGATTATCATAGCCAGAGTCGCTATGTGCAATCTCCTCGATCCTGGCCTCCTGGTCCTGGGCCTCGATTCATCGGATGCTCTCCCGCATGCAGATTCCAGCCTGATAGAGCTCCTCGGTAAACATGGACTCGCCACTCCTTCCCATCGAACTCCCTGCGGTGTCCATCTCACCTCCTCACCACTGTGCGCCGCCGCCGCTCTCGTTTTTTTGTTCGGGGGAAAGCAAAGATCCCCCAGCATAGGGTTTTCAAGATACGGTGCAGACGGGCGTGCGCCCATATATTTTCTCTCAGGCGTAGCCAGGCCCAGTAGATCGAGACGGACCTTCCCGGCAGCCCAGCCCAGTATCACTGTCGTCATTTCAAAATAAGATCACGAATTCACCTAAAAGAATAAGATCACGAATTTGGAAAATGTTAGCAAATTCAATAACGAACATTTCTAAAATGCTGTAAAAAATGGAGGAAAAAATTAAATCCCGATTTTTTTATAAAAATGAATATTTCTTGAAAAAAATGAACATTTATTTACGATAGCGAAAATTTGTTGAAATTTTGATTAATTTACGAAATGCAAACAAAATCTGAAAACATGATTTTTTTTGGAAAACATGAACAAATTTTAAATCCCAAACATTTTGCAAAACCGAATAATTTTTGACATTTTGAATTTCTTTAATGATTTTGACAAACTTTGAGTAAAAAACAAGGAAAATGAATAAATTAAAAAGTGAAAGAAAAATACAAAACAGAACAAATGTAAACCAACCAAAACCAAAAATAAAAGACCGAAAAACCGCTAGGAACCTTTTGAAAAGTTCCCAAAACCGGCTTGGGACCATCTAGGGAACCCAGAAAATGTTAATATGTAAAAGTAGTCCGACAAATATATAAAAGGTCTCATACCATTCAAGATATGTTACGTGTATTTTAAATATGTTTAACATTCATTTGAAGAAATGTTCAGACATGAAAAAACTGTCATCACGTGTTAGAAAAATGTTCTTGACATTTTACAATAATATTGTCCAATGTACTAAAATCATGTAGTTTACAAACAAAAATTGCGTGTGGGTGTTTTTCATGGTCCCTATTCTTCCTGTCAAACTCGAATCGCATCCAGGATTATACTGCTTGTACTATCAGCTTGCACGGTGATCATCTCTGCTTTGCCAAAAAATACATTCAGAAACTGAACCAACATATTTTTTTTCTTTTTTTTGAGGGAGAAACTGAACCAGCATCTGACGTTGCCTTGTGTTGCCCATATATACCTTTTCGGATTACTATTACACTAAGAAGTACAACTAGCTAGAATGCCATCTTCACTAAGTGAACCTCTTCAACAAGCGTCAACAAGCTTCATGATCGGCCTACGTGGAATTGATTCCCATGCGTAAGGGTGTATAGCTCCCATCACCGAGATTTCATACTGCTTTTCAACGAGCAAGGACCAAGCAACGGTTATCTCCACTTCACAACTACCAAGCTCGCAACTTTCTCGACTTATGTCGCTGAATTTGGTTGGGAAGACGACACTTCCACTGATTTCTCCAGCCTTCATGAGAATTTCAAGCCTTCCTCTTGATTTTACAGATACAACTTGCCTCAACAGATCTAGATAACCCTCTTCACCCACACGCATATCTCCAGCTTGTGAATCAAGCAGCAAAATACACCCAGCTGGGCGCTTACCACCGCCTTCGGTTTTGTCCTCAGGTAGTGCGGAGCAAACTATCTTGATGCCATTGCCACAAGGCAATGAGCCCCGTACAACACGGACACCGAGGATAGTGGCTTGGTGTGAATGTTCAAGCTGCTCACAGCATAACTCTATTTCACAAAGGCCCTGAAGGACACGGGTGGAAATAATATCACCACTATCAAGATCTTTTTCATCATAAAAAAAGGCTTTACCGATCAATGTTCTATCTTTAGACTCCACCGTGCCCTTAAGTTTTAGGTGGACTTCAATCGTAACTGTGGGTTCCATTATGCCCCCAGACATAATTGCACGAGAAGGGACAGTCAAGTGCAAAAAAGGATCCTGCAAGCATCATTGTTCACCATTAACTTGCCAACAAAGATGCGAACAATAAGAAAAATAATAGGAAAATATCCATGCATACCTGTTTTGTCAGGATTTGGCAGTCATCCCTAGTGCAATAGAAGAGAAGATTGTGACGATATTCCACAGAATCTCGGGCAGCAACTACACCATATACCTTCAGTGGCCACTCGAGGGTGAAGCCTTCTCTTTCTGCGACTTTAATGGAGTAAACCTGCATGGTCCTCCCGACTTCAGCACCCAGTGACGATGTGTGTTCAAAGTAGTTCCAAGATTGATATGATCATCAACGCACACTCCCTATACTTTCGGGATTAGTGTTGAACCTAAATAAGTGTTATTTGGTGTTTGCGTTGAGCATGAATATGATTTGATCATGTTTATTGCAAACGGTTATTCATTTAAATTAGAGAATAATTGTTGTTATGTTTACATGAATAAAACCTTCTATGGTCATACACCCAATGAAAATGGTTTGTTGGATCTCGATCGTAGTGATACACATATTCATAATATTAAAGCCAAAAGATGCAAAGCTAATAATGATAGTGCAACTTATTTGTGGCACTGCCATTTTAGGTCATATTGGTGTAAAGCGCATGAAGAAACTCCATACTGATGGACTTTTGGAATCACTTGATTATGAATCACTCGGTACTTGCGAACCATGCCTCATGGGCAAGATGACTAAGACTCCGTTCTCCGGAACAATGGAGCAAGAAACTGACTTATTGGAAATAATACATACTGATGTATGCAATCCGATGAGTGTTGAGGCTCGTGGCGGGTATCATTATTTTCTGACCATCACAGATGAATTGAGCAGATATGGGTATATCTACTTGATGAAACATAAGTCTGAAACATTTGAAAAGTTCATATAATTTCAGAGTGGAGTGGAAAATCATCGAAACAAGAAAATAAAGTTTCTACGATCTGATCGTGGAGGAGAATATTTGAGTTACGAGTTTGGTCTTCATTTGAAACAATGCGGAATAGTTTCACAACTCACGCCACCTGGAACACGACAGCGTAATGGTGTGTCCGAACATCATAACCATACTTTATTAGATATGGTGCAATCTATGATGTTACTTACGATTTACCACTATCATTTTGGGGTTATGCATTAGAGACAACTGCATTCACGTTAAAAAGGGCACCATCTAAATCCGTTGAGATGACACCATATGAACTGTGGTTTGGCAAGAAACCAAAGTTGTCATTTATTAAAGTTTGGGGTTGCGATGCTTATGTGAAAAAGTTTCATCCTGATAAGCTCAAACCCGAATCAAAGAAATGTGTCTTCATAGGATACCCAAAGGAGACAGTTGGGTACACCTTCTATCAAGATCTGAAGGCAAGATATTCTTTGCTAAGAATGGATCCTTTCTAGAGAAGGAGTTTCTCTCAAAAGAAGTGAGTGGGAGGAAAGTAGAACTTGATGAGGTAACTGTACCTGCTCCCTTATTGGAAGTAGTTCATCACAGAAATTTGTTCCTGTGACTTCTACACCAATTAGTGAGGAAGCTAATGATGATGATCATGTAACTTCAGATCAAGTTACTACGGAACCTCGTAGGTCAACCAGAGTAAGATCCGCACCATAGTGGTACGGTAATCCTGTTCTGGAGGTCATGTTACTTGACCATGACGAACCTACGAACTATGAGGAAGTGATGATGAGCCCAGATTCTGCGAAATGGTTTGATGCCATGAAATCTGAGATGGGATTCATGTATGAGAACAAAGTGTGGACTTTGGTTGACTTGCCCGATGATCGGCAAGCCATAGAAAATAAATGGATCTTTAAGAGGAAGATGGACGCTGATAGTAGTGTTACTATCTACAAAGCTAGACTTGTCGAAAAAAGATTTTGACAAAGTTCAAGGTGTTGACTACGATGAGATTTTCTCACTCGTATCGATGCTTAAAGTCTGTCCGAATCATGTTAGCAATTGCCGCATTTTATGAAATCTGGCAAATGGATAATAAAACCGCAATCCTTAATGGATTTATTAAAAAATAGTTGTATATGATGCAACTAGAAGGTTTTGTGTCAATCCTAAAGGTGCTAGCAAAATGTGCAAGCTCCAGCGATCCATCTGTGGACTGGTGCAAGCATCTCGGAGTTGGAATATACGCTTTGATGAGTTGATTAAAGCATATAGTTTTATACAGACTTGTGGTGAAGCCTGTATTCATAAGAAAGTGAGTGGGAGCACTACAACCTTTCTGATAAATATATGTAAATGACATATTGTTGATCAGAAATGATGTAGAATTTTCTGGAAAGCATAAATGAGTTCTTCAAGGAAAGACCTCGGTGAAGCTGCTTACATGTTGAGCATCAAGATCTATAGAGATAGATCAAGACGCTTGATAAAGATTTTCAATGAGTATGTACCTTGACAAGATTTTGAATTAGTTCAAAATGGAACAGTCAAAGAAAGAGTTCTTGCCTGTGTTTCAAGGTGTGAAGTTGAGTAAGACTCAAAGCCCGACCACGGCAGAAGATAGAAAGAGAATGAAAGTCATTCCCTATGCCTCAGCCATAGGTTCTATAAAGTATGCCATGCCGTGTACCAGATCTATTGTATACCCTACACTGAGTTTGGCAAGGGAGTACAATAATGATCTAGGAGTAGATCACTGGACAGCGGTCGAACTTATCCTTAGTGGAACAGGGATATGTTTCTTGATTATGGAGGTGACAAAATGTTCGTCGTAAAGGGTTACGTCGATGCAAGTTTTGACACTAATCCAGATGACTCTAAATCTCAATCTGGATACATATTGAAAGTGGGAACAATTAGCTAAAGTAGCTCCGTGCAGAGCATTGTAGACATAGAAATTTGCAAAATACACAAGGGATCTGAATGTGAAAGACCCGTTGACTAAGATTCTCTCACAAGCAAAACATGATCACTTTGGGTGTTAATCACATAGCGATGTGAAACTAGATTACTGAATCTAGTAAACCCTTTGGGTGTTGGTCACATGGCGATGTGAACTATGGGTGTTAATCACATAGTGATGTGAACTATGGATGTTAATCACATGGTGATGTGATCTAGATTATTGACTCTAGTGCAGGTGGGAGACTGAAGGAAATATGCCCTAGAGGCAATAATAAAGTTATTATTTATTTTCTTATTTCATGATAAATGTTTATTATTCATGCTAGAATTGTATTAACCGAAAACTTGATACATGTGTGAATGCATAGACAAACAGAGTGTCACTAGTATGCCTCTACTTGACTAGCTCGTTGAATCAAAGATGGTTAAGTTTCCTAGCCATAGACATGAATTGTCATTTGAATAACGGGATCACATCATTAGGAGAATGATGTGATTGACTTGACCCATTTCGTTAGCTTAGCACTTGATCGTTTAGTATGTTGCTATTGCTTTCTTCATGACTTATACATGTTCCTATGACTATGAGATTATGCAACTCCCGTTTACCGGAGGAACACTTTGTGTGTTACCAAACGTCACAACGTAACTGGGTGATTATAAAGGTGCTCTATAGGTGTCTCCGAAGGTACTTGTTGAGTTGGCGTATTTCGAGATTAGGATTTTTCACTCCGATTGTCGGAGAGGTATCTCTGGGCCCTCTCAGTAATGCACATCACTATAAGCCTTGCAAGCATTGTAACTAATGAGTTAGTTGCGGGATGATGTATTACGGAACGAGTAAAGAGAGTTGCCGGTAACAAGATTGAACTAGGTATTGAGATACCGATGATCGAATCTCGGGCAAGTAACATACCGATGACAAAGGGAACAACGTATGTTGTTATGCGGTTTGACCGATAAAGATCTTCGTAGAATATGTAGGAGCCAATATGATCATCCAGGTTCCGCTATTGGTTATTGACCGGAGACGTGTCTCGGTCATGTCTACATAGTTCTCGAACCCGTAGGGTCCGCACGCTTAAAGTTCGATGATGATTATATTACGAGTTTATGTGTTTTGATGTACCGAAGGTAGTTCGGAGTCGCGGATGTGATCACGGACATGACGAGAAGTCTCGAAATGGTCGAGACGTAAAGATCGATATATTGGACGACTATATTTGGATACCGGAATGGTTCCTGATAAGATCGGGATAATACCGGAGCACCGGGAGGTTATCGGAACCCCGGGAGGTATATGGGCCTTAATGGGCTTTAATGGAAAGGAGGGGAAAGGATCAAGGGAGCCCCCCCCCCCAATCCCAATCCGAATTGGGAGCCCCCCCTTTCCTTCCTCCATCCTTCCTCTTCCTTCCCTCTCCCTCTCCAAATAGGAAAAGGAGGAGTCCTACTCCCAGTGGGAGTAGGACTCCCCCCTTGGGCGCGGTTCCTCCCCTTGGCCGGCCGTCTCCTCCCCCCTTTATATACGGTGGAGAGGGGCACCCCATAGACACAACAATTGATCTCTTAGATCTTTTAGCCGTGTGCAGTGCCCCTCTCCACCATAGTCCACCTCGATAATATCGTAGCGGTGCTTAGGCGAAGCCCTGCGACGGTAGAACATCAGCATCGTCACCACGCCGTCGTGCTGACAGAACTCTCCCTCAAAGCTCG